GAGAGAGAGAGAGAGAGAGAGAGTCCATGCTGTGTGTGTGACCTTTAAACAACAGTGAACAGAGCGTTGATCTTACAGCTGTGACAGGTGGCTCCGCTGTACCCCGTGTCGGAGCAGTTACAGTGGAAGGAGCTCCAGGACTGACTGCAGCTGCCTCCATGCTCACAGTGACTCAGAGAACACCTGAGAGACACACGGAGACACACGTTAAGGTCTGGTACCAGCATCCACTAACCCACTTTTACTCTGTTTGCGCGATGGGTTGAGGGTCTAATAATAATACATTTTATTTAAGCCGCCTTTCATGACACCCAAGGACACCGTACAATTTGTTAAATATTCTAAGATGTAAAAGCAACAAAACATGATTAAAACACAAACAAACCATAATGGAGAAGACAATTAAAGTGGACACAAATGATAGGGACAGGTTATTCAGGGGAAGCAGATGATAGGAAGCACTACAGTGAGTAGGCTGATCTGAACAGGTGGGTTTTGAGGAGGGAGAGAGAGAGTTCCATAGTTTGTGTCTACTACTTTTAGTGCCTTTTCAAACCAACAAGTAGAGAGGTTGGAAGTGGAAGTTATAAACCCTCCAACAGCTAGTAGGGCTGCTCGATTATGGCAAAAATCATAATCTCGATTTTTTTTTTGGGTCAATAATTGATATCACGATTATTAAAAACAATTATCCATTTACTTTGAAAACATCCATTTATTGAATTTTTTTTTTTAAAGTATGTTTTTAACAGTTGATTACCCTGAACTTTAAGTATAATTCAACTGAAATACCAATAAAAAAAATAATCGTTATATTTCGATTATGTTGTTTTCATAATCGTTGAAAGCCAAAATCGTAATTGCGATTAAAATACGATTAATTGAGCAGCCCTAACAGGTAGTTATAAAAACCCTCAAACAGCACCTTAGCATCGGTCCTGACTTTATCGAATCCCCCAGGTAGTGTGCCTGACGTTGAAGCAAATGTTCGAGTGGCAAAACAAGGGTACTACAATTTCTGTGAACCCTCGTACACAAGTTCGAACGCCCAATGGACTCCTGGATGATCATGGTATTTTTGTACCTAAAGTAAGGGAATCGTGGCTTTTATGCGCTACTGAGCTACTTTCATAGACGAGGCCCCACATTTAAAGCTGTCCAGTTCTTGTTATACATCTATGACTAAACCAGCTTCCCTACTGCGCTGTGAAAATATACTTTGGAGCAAAAGTATGTACTAGTCAAGTGTGCAAAATAAGATCTAGCTGGTTGTGAGAACTGCAGTGATTTATTGGATTGTAAATAAGTGTCTGTCCTCCAACTTCACATAACATGTAGCATGAACTGCGGCATCTAAAATACAGAAAGTGGAACACGCTTGAGCTGCTGCTCTTATCTTTCTCAGAGTCGGCCCTGTGTCAGGACTGAGCTGTGGGCGGAAAGAAAGGAAACCAAAGGAATAACAAAGGGTTATTATGACATAAGAAACAGAAAGAGGAAATAGTGTCAGGGTTGAGTGAAGCAGGCAGGACCCAAACGCAGATTTAAACAGAAAATACCTTTATTTCAAGGCTAAGGTAACAACAGAACTCTTCCCAGTGAACACAGTCAAGACAAACAACAATCCAACAATGACAGACAGAAAAACCAGAACTTAAATGCGCACAAGACTAATCACACAAACAAGAGACAGGTGAGGAGGGAGGAGAAAACACAGGGGCACAAGGTGAACACAATCAGCAAATCAGACACAGGAGGGCAAACACAGAGACAGAAATCAACAGACAAGACAGGGGGTGAACACTTTTCAAAATAAAACAGGAAACCAGAGACAGACAAAACACAACACAGACAGACCGTGACAAATAGAACAACATGATGGAGACACTGTGGAGAGAGAGAGAAATCCAGGAAGAGGAATTAAGGTTGAGATACGGATCGAAGGAGGAAGCAGCGACGCCAACAAAGGGGATGAAGGTTGGCATGATTGGAGCTCAGCAGCCACTGTAAACATATTTTTAAGAAGAAATTAGGTCAGCAAAATGTGAATGCAGCGCGAGAGAGAGAGAGAGAGAGAGAGAGAGAGAGAGAGAGAGAGAGAGAGAGAGAGAGAGAGAGAGAGAGAGAGAGAGAGAGAGAGGCTTGTGTTTTTAATCTTTAAGTCAGTTAGAAAAAGCCTGACTCAGCGGACTTGTCAGATAAAGGTTGTTTTTTTTGCAGCAATTTATTTTTAACTGAAAGTAAACATGGAGGTGCGTGATTATGTATTTCCTCCACTAAATTAAATATATGCCATTATTGCCTCCTTATCTGCAAACACGCACACACGCACTTCTTCAAAATAAGTGTATTTTTCCAAAGTCTCAAGGTAAATTCCGTGTGCGTACGATGAGTGCTTTCAGAAGAAAATGCAGGTTTCATGTGAGGGGTTGGAGAAATGTTAATCGATATTTCAAGATGGCATTTATTGCAAATAGAGCTGCTCAGAGGATCATTTGTATGCTGTATACCAGAGAGCTGTAGTGATTTATAGAACGGTCTAATGTCATGTTTGTGAGAACAATGCAATTGCTCACACTCACCAAATAATAAACTGACACAGTATAGCTTGAAGATACATTTTCGGCAATTAAGACATACGAGAGGCTGAAAAACATGTAATAATATTGATTCTGTCAATAAAATAGATTTTTATATTGAACAATAATGTGTATTGGTTCACCAGAGTTTACATTCTCAAGATTCATGTCTGTATAGTTTTAACCAGCATGTTATGCTCAAGTATATTCTAATTTGGAGGTACTTGAACTATAACTGAGTCTTTGACGGTGGCCAACAGGTTCAAACATGCTACAACAGCATAAACATTTTCCCTCAAAGAAATGAGATACAGTTTCAAAAAAAAGAATTGATTCACATATCAAAAGACAAACGAGCCAAAACACATGCAAACGATGAAACATCTCCGACAAGACAACAGAAACAGGAACACTGAAAAGTGACACACTAAGCCAAAGCACACAAAGTAGCTACAAAGCTATAAAGTTGGCCAACTGTCGCTGTAGCTGGAAATGTACCGAATATATAAGTTTTACCGGCTTATTTTAACAATGTGATCAAATCTCTATAAGAAATCACCTCAGAAGTCTCTGCTCCATAGTTTCTCTTGGAATAAAATCACACTGTACATTTCACATTTATATATTCAGTTTAATATTTAATATTCCATCTGTCACATACTTATAATATGTATATATAATACCTTGCTAAAGCAATATATACATATCTTGTTATTGTACATTTGTAAATTCAACATGTATATTTTCTACTTTCTTGTTTATTTCTTGTCTTTTAATTTGTATTGTACAATGCCATGTCTTTTTATGCTGCTGCAACACAAACATTTCCCAAATTGGGATCAATAAAGTTCTATCTTATCTGATCTTATGATTCCATCCCTATTATTGCAGAACTGCTGTAAGCTAGCTAATGTAGCTAACCTAGTTAATTCAAAAATGATGAAACAGACCAACCCTGCGACACAGAGTTAATCTAATTTAATATAACTCATTCAGACATTTGGTGTTTCTGACTTGAGTTCAGGAGACTCCCTCTCAATAGTGCTAAAAGTAAGTTATATCACTTTAAAATGGGTTTACCCAAAGTTAAAGTTGGCCTCCAAGTGCAATGGAGTCCTGACAATCAACAATCAGCATAAGCAAGAAGTGTATCACGATAATAATAATAATAATAATAATAAATGATATTTCTATAGCGCTTTTCTTGAACCCAAAGACGCTTTACATTTGGGAGGGAGGGTAGACAAACAAAACAAAAACAAAAACAAAACAGAAAAGCAGTCAGGAGGAAGTTGGTTGAGAGGGGAGGGGGGGGGTTTATGGATACAGAGTTGAAGAGGTGGGTTTTGAGGCGGGACTGGAACAGGGTGAGGGACTCAGACTCACGGAGGTATTGGGGGAGGGAGTTCCAGAGCTTCGGGGCTGCCACAGAGAAGGCTCTATCCCCGAAGCTCCGGAGTTTGGCCTTGGGGATGGAAAGCAAACCGGCTGAGGTGGATCTGAGGGACCGGGGTGGTTGGTAGAGGATGAGGAGGTCAGTGAGGTAGGGGGGGGCAGATGGTGGAGGGCTTTGTAAGTGAGGACCAGGAGTTTGTAATGGATGCGGTGTGAAACGGGGAGCCAGTGGAGTTCTTTGAGGACCGGGGTGATGTGATGCCATGATTCGGTGTGGGTGAGGAGTCTGGCGGCTGCGTTCTGGACACGCTGGAGTCTACTGAGGGAGGTGGAGCTGATGCCGTAGAGGAGTGAGTTGCAATAGTCAAGGCGGGAGGAGATGAAGGCGTGAATGAGTCGCTCAGCTGCAGGGCGGGTGAGAGAGGGACGGAGTTTGGCAATATTGCGGAGGTGGAAAAATGAGGTTTTTACAACATGACGGATGTGGGGCTCGAAGGGAGAGGGTGGGGTCAAATATAACGCCAAGGTTGCGTGCCTGGGTGGAGGGGGAAACAGGGGTGCCATCAATGGTGACTGTCAGGTTGGGGGTTTTGCTGAGGGGGGATTTGGAGCCGATGAGGAGGGGTTCAGTTTTATTGCTAGTTTGAGGAAGTTGTGTTGCATCCAGGATTTTATTGCAGTCACACAGGATTCGATGTGGGTGAGGGGGGGGGGGTTGTGGGGGGATTTGGTGCGGAGGTAAATCTGTGTGTCGTCAGCGTAACAGTGAGAGTCCAGGTTGTATTGGCGGAGAATCTGACCAAGGGGGAAGGATGTAGATGATGAAGAGGAGGGGGCCGAGAATGATGATGATCATCTGGCAACAATATCTGAACAGCAGTAGCAGAAAGAAAGCTGTTTTTTTAAACCTGCCAATAATTTATTTTTACTGACACTAACGTCGAAACAATTTGTCCCCAACTCAATCCCACACTGAGACAAAGAGCCAACCATCTCCTAATGTTGGTGTGCGTGTGTGTGTGTGTGTGTGTGTGTGTGTGTGTGTGTGTGTGTGTGTGTGTGTGTGTGTGTGTGTGTGTGTGTGTGTGTGTTTTTTTAAACAAATGATGCTTATAAAAAGTGGGGTGTACAGAATTGGCCATTTCCAAAAGTGAGGCGGACATGTCTCCAGCATCCCCAGCGTAAACGACACGGACCTGACAACTAAAATGAGACATTTTAAGCATGAGGCTCTGGTGCTCAAAGCTTAAAAAGCTAGTCTTATTTTGAAGGTAAGAGAAAGAGCCTGTTTGTCGGAGCTGATAACACGTGTGAGTCCGTTGTTTCACTGCGGCTCAGATTTATTATCTGTGAGTATTTCCAGCAACTCGTCCCTTCTTGTAGATTCTCCCGCTGGTCGCTGCAGGGTGACTCTGGTTTTAGTACTGACAGAGTGTGTGTGTGTGTGTGTGTGTGTGTGTGTGTGTGTGTTGTTGCTTCTCACAAATAACTCATAAAGTGAAACCACATTTCAGCTCAAAGACAGAAAGCTGCGTCTCACTCTGTCTGAAGCTTTATAGACAGAACAGAAACTGAATTGTTTTCTTAGCGAGAAAACATTGAGACTGGGACACTGCCGCCATAATCTCTCTGTTTCCAGTCCTCTGCTGTCTAATAATCCATGAGCAACCCAATTTCACAGGAAACCAGTCACAGAGCCTTCAGGGGGAGATTAGGAACTGAACAGGCTTTTTGACACAAACGATTTGGTAGTACATATTATACAACGTGCCTAACATGGATACATAAATGTAAGAACCAATTTACTGCAACGTTTGCTTTTATGTCAACTTTTCCTGAAAAAACTGATGGTCTGACCTGTCGATGATGCCGCACATGTCGATCTGCAGGTGACTGTAGTTTCCCATCAGCCTTTGCTGCACCTTTTTTAGGTCCACAGGCTGGTTGTCGACAGTCAGGAGACGCATGCAGCCCTGGAAAGCCTTGAAGGGGTTCACACACTGATCACTGCTCCCCTCAGAAGGACAACCTGACCCAGAAGAGGGAACAACGTCAGAAAACATTCAATTCAATGCAGTTTAAAAATACAGGTGGTAAGGTATGACAAAAAACGACGGACAAATGTCTTGTAAAATCTAAAGATGCAATGAAATGTGCAATAAACCCAGTCAAGAAATAAATCAACACATTATGATTATTTAGAAAATGTATATTATACAAAGCTTGAGAATTGGAACCCAGATACTAAACTAAAATATATTTCACTCATACATCTACTGTAGAAATGGAAAATATAGTTTATGTATTATACACAGTATTGACACGCTTAAAAACACCTAAAACAATTCCCTTAAATCTAAACTAAGCTAATTCTAACTAAATGGTTAATTGTATCACTCTAAAACAAAGGTTTAATGAAGAGAAATATAATAAACATATCCACATTACAAGGGGAGATAATGCATTTCAGCGTAAACTTGTTCTTCACTCTTCTCTGAAGAAGTCCTCTGCAATTATTTCAGATGATAAGAACCTCTGACTCTCTTACCACCAAAGAAGAGTTGACCGTCAGTGGAAACAGGAAACGGGGGGCTGGCGTTGGCGGTGTCTCCTTCCCCCCCGTCCACAGAGACGGAAAGATGTCCTCGTTTGGAGGTCAGCTCCACAGAGTGCCACTGACCGTCATCCAGAGCTGATCCTGAGTACACAGAAATACAGAATAGAAGATAATAGAATAGAAGCATTTATTGCCGTTATACAAGTACAACGAGAAGAGTAAAGCTACTCCTTTTAAGGTGCCATCAAAATATTCAGAAAAGACGACATACAACAAAGACACGCAGCATTCATACATACAATAATAATAACAGAAATATACAATATACTGTCCACAAAGATACAGATATACAACTGTCTGGTCTTTATTTCCTGGAGGTTAGGATTAGAATTTCAGTCATTAACTTATCGATCTCTGTAGGGAGATTGCCTTGGGCCTCAGGGAGGTCAGAGGTGGAGTTTAGCTACGAATCAATGTTGTAAAACCTGGAGGATTCAGTAATTGGCTTAATCACCCTACAGGAAGATGGCTAAATGGATTCCTCTGTTCTTCAGGCCTCAGGATTGACATTGACATTATATTTATATAGTTTCTACTAGTGGAAATATGTGCGCATTTATTTTTGTGTGGTGCTGTTGTACCAATAACTCTATACTGAAATGTCAGTGACAGCTTATCTTTTTCACATACAACTAAACTAAAGGAAATGGCTGAGGCTCTCTTGGACAGGGCAGAAATGTGCTTCATTGGACTCCTGACATCACTATGTAATACTCGCTCTCCTATTGGCTAGCGCTCCAACACATGATAGGCTAAGGGGCGGGACATCTAAGTGGTTGACCAATCAGAGCAGACTGGGCTCTGGTTTCAGACAGAGGGTGAAAGGAGGTGCTGCAGCACAGGCAGTATGAGAAAAATAAAGAGCTATTTGAACATTAAAGCATGGAGACATGTCCCAGTAGAGACACTACATACTGATATACACCTGAACATCAGCAGGAGAGGACTCTTTAAAGTAGAGACACTACATACTGATATACACCTGAACATCAGCAGGAGAGGACTCTTTAAAGTAGAGACACTACATACTGATATACACCTGAACATCAGCAGGAGAGGACTCTTTAAAGTAGAGACACTACATACTGATATACACCTGAACATCAGCAGGAGAGGACTCTTTAAAGTAGAGACACTAATACTGATATACACCTGAACATCAGCAGGAGAGGACTCTTTAAAGTAGAGACACTACATACTGATATACACCTGAACATCACCAGGAGAGGACTCTTTAAAGTAGAGACACTACATACTGATATACACCTGAACATCAGCAGGAGAGGACTCTTTAAAGTAAAGACACTACATACTGATATACACCTGAACATCAGCAGGAGAGGACTCTTTAAAGTAGAGACACTAATACTGATATACACCTGAACATCAGCAGGAGAGGACTCTTTAAAGTAGAGACACTACATACTGATATACACCTGAACATCAGCAGGAGAGGACTCTTTAAAGTAGAGACACTACATACTGATATACACCTGAACATCAGCAGGAGAGGACTCTTTAAAGTAGAGACACTACATACTGATATACACCTGAACATCAGCAGGAGAGGACTCTTTAAAGTAGAGACACTACATACTGATATACACCTGAACACCAGCAGGAGAGGACTCTTTAAAGTAGAGACACTACATACTGATATACACCTGAACATCAGCAGGAGAGGACTCTTTAAAGTAGAGACACTACATACTGATATACACCTGAACATCAGCAGGAGAGGACTCTTTAAAGTAGAGACACTATATACTGATATACACCTGAACATCAGCAGGAGAGGACTCTTTAAAGTAGAGACACTAAATACTGATATACACCTGAACATCAGCAGGAGAGGACTCTTTAAAGTAGAGACACTAAATACTGATATACACCTGAACATCAGCAGGAGAGGACTCTTTAAAGTAGAGACACTAAATACTGATATACACCTGAACATCAGCAGGAGAGGACTCTTTAAAGTAGAGACACTATACTGATACTGTGCTTAATATGTCCTCTTTAAGGCTGAGAATTAGGGTTGGATGAGGAGGATTTGGGGGTCAAACTGACCTGCACTGAGCTCCAGTGGCGCTCTCCCAGATTTGTGGATCTGTAGATGAAGCCGGGTTTTACTCAGGTAGAGCCAGACCGCCCCTCCTTGCTTCGGGAGGTCAAAGGTCAGCAGCAGCCCCTCTTCGTTCCACGTCCGAAACTGAAACCCCACCGTCATGCTCGATGAAGACCGTTCACTCATCCTCGGTAACCAGAGGAAGCTTTGGGGACTGGTGAACGTCATCGCAACAAAAACGGGTTCATCACAGGAGAAGGTCACGTTGCCCTGAGATATGTGGAGTGGAGAGAGAAATTAATTAATACAGAAAAAAAGGGAAAACTCGATAACGCATGAATTTGAATTAATTTCCAGAGCTGCGTGGCGGCGCCCTCATGCAGAGATCTCATCAGCAAGAGTCCTTAAAAGCATGCGAGTATTACCATAATGATAATAGCTCTGAATAAGCACCAAGAGATCAAGCTGAATTTAACCCGAGGTCAGGGAGGAGGACAGAAAGTGAAATAAATAATAAGGGACTGGGAGCATTTGGGCATCTTGTTTTCCGCCCCATTGTCAGTGGTAGAAAGTAACCAAGTACATTTACTCAAGTACTGCACTTAAGTGCCGTTTTGAGATATTTTACTTCAGTATTTCCTTATTATCCTACTTCCTACTTTTAATCTAATACATTTTCTTGGTAAAAGTTGAACTTATTACTCCACTACATTCATTTTACAGCTTCCGTCGCAGATTCACATTATTAATATGAACAATAAACTGATGAATCAATGTGTTTATGAGTGAGGAAGTGACATTTTCTGTTGACCGCAGTATCCATCACACTTCCACTTGCACTCACCATTACACTCAGTTACTGGGATTGGAATGAACTTTATCTTTGCCTGGTTCGTGGAGGAATAAATGGTCAGACGATTTTGTTTTTGGATTCTCTGTGCACGACCAAGTGTTTTCTTCCCATGTTTACCGCCTCGTGGCTTTTGTTGTACAGCTTACAGCCTAATTGTTGGTGTCTCCAGGATTTCACACTCAGACTCACAATGTTAAAGCAATACCAGCAGTCGGTAAAAAACCTTTTATTGGCACATAATTGGCCATTTTACCTTCAGAGTGACCCGCTGGTCTCTCTGTTTGGCGAGGTCTATCAGGTTCACACCGTTGTACTCCAGGTTTTCCAAACAGCCGTGGAAATTTCTGTTGATCGACCTCTGAGAGCCGAGAGCCTGGTCTGCTCCCACACTCATCTGTGCGGAGGAAACGTGAGCATAAAGACGAATAAGTCAATAAAACTCAAGCAGGTGTGAATGTTAGTGTTAGAAACGTATCACTCGTCACCGGCTTGAGCTTCAATATCAGGATACATGTATTTATTATCCTCTCAAGAATGGAAGTAGTCATCACATACAGAGCATTTGATACAACTAGTTCCTTCACATGCTCACAAGAGAGGGAGTTACACAGTCACAAGATGCAGGAATACGGGTAACCTACTGTAGGTAATCAATACATCCTGCCGTCATGTACAAAATACTGATCAAAATCTCAAAATTCTGAAATTCCCTAAAAAATTCTGACTTTCTCTCAAAATTCTGACTTTCTCTTAAAATTCTGACTTTTTCTCAAAATCTCAAAATTCTGACTTTCTCTCAAAATTCTGACTTTCTCTCAAAATTCTGACTTTCTCTCAAAATGTGGACTTTTTCTCAAAACGTGGACTTTTTCTCAAAATACTGACTTTTTCTCTTTAGCTCCTGAACAGCGTCCTTCACATGCTGATATACAAGAGAGAGAGAGTTACACAGTCACAAGATGGAGGAGTAGAAAGCAGTATTCAATGTTTAGTTCAGATTAGCTCCACGTCAGAAATGATGTCTATCATGTTAATCACATAGCTATCATATGCCTCAAACAGTCCTGATGCTCTTCTAGGTAATCACACATCCTGTCATGTTCACAGCTACAGTTGGGATACCTTTGTTGTCATGTGAACTCTGATATTGGAAGAGTACATTCAGTATTTTCCCAACAGTTTGTGTGTGTGTGTGTGTGTGTGTGTGTGTGTGTGTGTGTGTGTGTGTGTGTGTGTGTGTGTGTGTGTGTGTGTGTGTGTGTGTGTGTGTGTGTGTGTGTGTGTGTGTGTGTGTGTGTGTGTGTTCGTCCCTCACCTGGTCATGGTCCCAGCGGGTGAGTCTTGGTGGGATCTGCACCCACAGAGTGTTCTTGTCCACGGTGAGGTTGAGGTGGGTGCTGTGGTGCTCCACGGTGACCTGGTGCCAGTGCTGGTCGTCCAGCAGGCTGCCCACAGACACCATGTGCTGGCTGGCAGGGGAGGAGCTCCTGCCTGGAGAGCAGGAGGAAGACGAAGAGTGAGATGAAGAGGGTGGATGAAAAGGAGAGGTAACTTCAATTGAAACTTTTTTATGTAAGTGCATTATTATTTATTTTTTCAAAGCATTATTGTTTATAATATTATTATTTATGTTATATTTTAAACACGCACAAAAGCACTGTATCTGTCTTCACCTGTCTTGTTATCGCCAAATAAAAAATACAAAAATAAAATACAAGAATGAGATGCTTAAAATCTCAGATTGATTTAAAATATTTGAGGTTTATTCCTAATGTTTTATTCATTAAAATAGTTGTACCCTCATATCTGCAGGTTTTGTTTTTACAGCATATGAAATACAGCCTCTTCAGCTCTGGTTCCCCATCTCTCTAGGAACACAATATCTCAGTTTACTGGAGGTTAATGCTGTTTTTATGTCTCTAAATTAGTAAATTAGTGTCAAACTTTTCAGCAGGGGATTAGATCTCAGGATAAACTGATACAAAAACACGAAAATGAAGGTGACAACACATAATGAATACTAATGGTGGCAGAGATCGAGGTAGAAAAGTGTTATTAAAAGGGCGAAGTGAAGACAGAGTGCAGAGCTGAGAGAAGGAGGTGAGAAGCAGACGGAGCTTAAGGCACTCGGGTCATTAAATATGAATTAGATATAGTTTGAATGGAGTCTGTGTGGTCAAAGGAGTCGAAGAGAAAGAGAGACAGAGAGAATGAACCGTGTTCAGTGATCAATCATCATTGATCTGTGAGACAGATACTGAGCAGAGGAGAGACCACAGAGGCAGAGAGTACTTCATCTCCATACATCAGGAGGTAGTGTGTGAGAATGAGAGAAACAGGGAATTGATGTCAAAGTCAAGTGTATTAAGTCATTACTAATCTTTCCTTGCAACCCTGTCTCCTATACATAAAGCTTTATATGCTAGATATTCTCATATACAGCTAGCTTGCAGCAGCAACTACATTTCAAAGGAAACACAATGACGTTCAATATCAGCCTGTTGCAACTAAAGCATTGTTTACATTTCCTTTAGTTATGTTTATGCACTTAGCATTTGGTTAAGTTTTGGTAAATCGCTTTGTCTTTACTAAAACAATTTATTTTACTTTACTCTAATCAGCTCCACTTCACTTTACTTACCTCTATATTTACTTTCCTCTACTTTTACCTTACTTTGCTTTTCTGAACTTGATTTGACTTTACTTGACTGTACTATAATAATAATGGGTTTCATTTATAAAGCACTTCATAATTGACTTCAAATCCCGAAGTGCTACAAGCAGTGAGCATGAACAGTATAAAAACATTACACAACACGGTAGAATTAATAAAAAGCAATAAAAAACAATACAAATAAAATAAAAGGGTGGTAATAAATAACAGGTCTAGGGAAAGGCTCTATTGAACAGATGGGTTTTGAGGCCTTCACGGTCTGTGGTGCTCTCATGTGCTCGGGGAGAGCGTTCCACAGACTGGGAGCAGCCGAGCGGAAGGCCCGGTCTCCCATAGTACGGAGCTTAGTCCTGGGGGGTTTGAGGAAGTTGGAGTTGCTGGAGCGGGTGGTCCGCAAGGAGGTATGAGGGGTGAGGAGTTCCTTAAGGTAGGGGGGGGGGGGGGCAGTTCCATGGATACACTGGAGGGGTGAGGACGGAGACCTAGAATTCGATCCTCAGTTCCACGGGGAGCCAGTGTAGTGCTTTAAGGATGGGGGTGATGTGATCGTATTTGCGCACCCTCATCAGGATCCTAGCAGCGCTGTTCTGAATGTACTGGAGCTTCTGGATGCTTTTGTTAGGGATCCCGATGAAGAGTGCATTGCAGTAGTACTTGACTTTATTTAACTTAACTTTACTTCATTTTACGGATGTGTGTTCATCAATAGTTAAATCACAAAAAGCTGCTGTCATAGATTAACTTTGAATTGAAGTGAATTTGATCACTGAGCTAATCTTAATTCATAGAGAGTTTGGTGAACTTGACACGCAGTGGATCATATTGCTAACTGTGCTGATATTTGAGGAAACAAGACATTTAGAGGGTTTAAAAAGCAGGAAGATAATATATTAGCACCGCCTCATCTTCCAGTGTTAAGGTCCTTACACACCAAACTGACACCAAAGAACACGTCCTGATGGAACGTCTCCTGCGTCTTGGTCAACAGTCGCTCTGGAACACACCGCAAAGACTTCAGCCGACGGCCAAGTAGCACGTACGAACTGCGCATGCGTGAGTGGCAATAACTCTCCTTACCAGCAGGCGGCGGTAGTGTGTATTCGTCATTCAAAAGAGGCAACAACCGGAAGACAGACTGCGTGATAACCGAGAGAAGAACAGACTGCGTGATATAAACAAACAACAAATAGCGTGCGTTCCATTTTCTCTACAGCGAGAAGCTCACGGGGCTTTCCCGAACCTGAGTCGAGAGCTGGAGTTCAATGAAATCTCAGATTTGCCTTCTTAATAGTTTGTTTGGGTCCCTCACTTCCGTTTCGCTTCTCATGCACTGATTCGCTAAACTGAACAGTCAATCAGAGTGATTTCTTTGGCTGACGGCCTTTAGCTGAAGGTGTCGGCACGGCCGAAAAGACACGACGGTGCGGGACACACCAATCTGAGTAGGGCGACACGACGCTCATCGACGGCCGAAATCGGCTTGGTGTGTAACGGCTCGTCCACACGGCGGCGTGCGTTGAAGCTTGCCGGCGGGCGTGTCTGAAACTCAACCAACAACCAATCACATGAATCTCCCGCCCCGGACACACAAGCAGCGGTTTGATTGGCTAAAGCTTGTACTGGCATATGATTCGATTGGCTGACGCTTCTGCCGAGGCTTCAAAAGTTGAACATTGCTCAACTTTTGCCGAGAGCCACGTCAGCAAAGCTCCGCGTCGCTTCCCACAATGCAGTTCGGCAAAAAGTGACGTCACCCCATTCAAAGTGAATGGTGAAGCTTTCAACGCACGCCACTGTGTGGACGGGCCGTAAGGGACTTTATACAATCTTGCCAAAAGGAGCTTTCTTTTATCCAGTAAGCAATGAGATGAACAATCAATAACTAGGATTAGTAACTTCCTGGCCTCTAGATGTCTGTTCGCTCCATTGCTCAATTATGTTACCTTTTAAGAAACAATCTCTTCCAAAACTAAAACTCATGCAGACACTTCCCATTTCCTAAATCTCCAGACTTAATAATGGTTAATGTACTGGTTTTCAGGGAGCATCCACAGAATTCATGCTGCCTTTTCAAAGGGACTTTTAAAGGTAAACTATGCGAGAAGCTGCTTAAAGTTCCTTGAAATCTTTAAACTCTTTACAGTGCAGGTTGTTAGATAACTTCCGACAGCTCCCCAAGGCAATATCACCTAATCATCTGCATTACGACTCTCCACAGAGCAGTGGCGGCGCCAGGGTATGGCTGGGGTAGGCTACAGCCATACCAAGAAATGGCTTAGCCCTACCTTAGCCCGACCATGAACAATTATGTTAAAGTAAGCATGTTGAGAACACGGATTGCGAAAATCTACCGGTCGTCTCCACAACACACAAACTGATCCTGCTGTAACAACAAGTGCACGTTACTGACGCAATATGGTTGAGACCATTCGGGCTTATGCTAGAGGGGTGCAAGGAATAGTCTAAGTAGTGGGGGAGTTTTATACACTAAAGGTGTGAAAATGTTCTGGCGTTATAATATCAGCGCGGCCGCGGTCAGATCAAAATGCCTCCGAATGAATAGACCTACAGCCAATCAGAGCAACGAAACGTTGGGTCTGCATGCATTACTGATACGTCGATACGTCACGTTCACAGTGAAAAGTCCCCAAAACTCGCGCCGAGTAAATTGCAGCAGACATCATCAGCAGAACTTCTAGGATTAATTGTATATTTCGGATGGATAGATTTGTTCTTAAACGCCCTCGCATTGAGGTACAAGTCGAACAGGTGCCAGAGTCACACGACCCACCTGAAGAGTGAATAGTGAGTTTTGAATATATTTTGTAATAGGTCATTTGAAAAAGTGTTTTGTATGACAAGAGAGACACAGGCCACCTGTTGTGTGCTGTGTCTGTCTCTCTCTGTTTACCTGTGTATGTGTCTCTCTCTCTCTCTCTCTCTCTCTCCCTCCCTCACTCACTCTCCCTCCCTCTCTCTCTCTCCCTCTCCGTGTCAATTCTATATGCCAACTTTTCTTGTTTCTGCCGCTGCGTAGCATGTTGTAACAACGTGGAATTAGCAGAATAGGCTATTGTATTGTTTAACTCACACCTGTTGCTCTCGATGTAATTTAGCTGATAAAAGGAGACTAATAAAAGCCTCACGCGTGGCGTTTCACTGTCAAGGGGGTGCGATATAGCGTGTATGTAATTACATTACAAATACTGACTTGAGCCCCACCACTGTATGGGTTAGCCCTACCATAGATTACCCAACAAAAATACTCTGGCGCCGCCACTGCCACAGAGACTCTAAATCTAATTTTGTTGGAAGACAAAGACTGCTCTTATCAGATGACAGTAATTGTTTCCGTATTTCCATTTTTATTTCATTTATCTTAAACGATTGAGACGGAGTGCATGCATGCAATCAGTCAACACAAGAATAATGTGTGAGAAACAATCTGCTCACAACAAAAGCTGCAGGAAAACAGTTCAGGAAGGTTTTGTGTTTGAAGACTTCAAAAGAAACCTGGCATTAAAATGAATCCTGAGAAGAAGTCGCCACTGCATTGATATTCCACGGCTGTTCTGCCTTTTGTGAGTCTTTCTTAAGATGCATGAAAACCATAGTAAAGTTTGACTTTCTGTCATTCTACGTGGGTTGTCACATTTTCGAGAACGGTCTCTGCTGATAGAAACAAGCAGACACTGCAATCGTTTCTTTCATTTTTTCCATTTCATTTTCATGACAATGGTGTCCTCGAAATCTTAGAACACAATTTTAGAAGCAACATAGAAAACACCTTCAGAAAAAGTTTTAAAATTCTCCTAATATGCTATTTTTATGCATATATTATGGGTCTCAGATATATACAAATCTATAAAAAACATGTCTATTATGTGTTTTGCTCAAAATGCCAAACAGATCATGCATTTCAGACATCCCTCATATCCCTCTGTTTCAGGTGAGTTCCTTTTTTTATTTCCTGCTTTTTTACCCATACTCTCTCCAGTACAGGTTAGCTCTGAGTGTTAGCGATGCTAATGTAAACAAAGACCATATTACGTCCAAAACACGTCGTGCATTGTTTCTGATAGCAACGTTTCTGACATTTCAGATATGACGTCATATCGGACGCAAATCTGGATCAGCTCCGTTGTAGCCCCGTTTTTAGAGATTTGGGTACGGAGGAAAAGAGAGAGGGTTTTGTTTTCTGACACTTTGTGAGTTCCCTGACACACCGGGGACACATATTTATGTATAAAAGACATTAAAAAGTGCATTTTGCATGATAGGTCCCCTTTAAAGAGGACATATTCTGCTCATTCCAGGTTCATATTTGTATTTTGTGCCGCACTACACCAGTGCTTTTGACTTATTTCTGCCCCTTTACTGCCTTCAGTCCATTATTACATGATGTATTCTCCTCCAAATGCAACTGAGCCTCCAGCCCAAGCTGCTGTTACACCACCACAAATCAATCTTCTCGATTTCAGCAGCTTCCACCTGAAACTCTGAGCCACACCAGCAGCTCCCGTCTGCTCCTCTGGGAAAATGTGAGCCAGGTCAAAAGTTCCTGCATAAACTCTGCAGACTCATACTGTGTCACTGTGCAAGCTGTGTCTTCGTGCAAACATATTCCCCATTTAAGCAATTAGTGTTGCATCTTGAAATTCATGCACCACTGTACCCTGTATGCAAGGGCTGGTTTGCCTTCGCTAACTGTACGGAGGCTCAGTCACTGGTACATTTTTATATATAAAGCCATGTTAGGGAAACTTCCATCCTACATCTGCTCCCTGATCTCACGGCGAATTGTAAGAGGCTACTGCCTGAGATCGCATGCTGTGGTTTTATTAAATGTGCCAGCTGCTAGGACTGTCTTAGGGAAGATAGCTTTTAGATGTGCAGCTCCTCTGTCTTGGAATAGTCTGCAATTGAAATGGAAACTGAGCAATCTAGTGCCACTAAATGTTTTTAAAGCTCGGTTGGATGCTACTCAATCGGAAGCTGTTGGTACCTGCTCATGTGGATAGTAATTGTAAATTGTAATCCCTGTAATGATGCTGTAAGATGTCATTTTTGTTGTTCTGTTTATGTTTTATGTTTCATGTGGAACCAACTTGAGCAGGTCTCCCTTGAAAAAGAGATCAATGATCTCAATGGGATACACCTGGATAAATAAAGGTTTGAAATGAAATGAATGCAATGTCAGCAAGCTGCAGTGAAACGACTCTGTGTACATCATTTATATCCGGAGAGCTTTTACTTACTTAATATAGAATAAAAACACCAAGTTTTAGCTTGTCTTCCTGTTTGAAACCTTCCTCATTCGTACTAAAGCTCAGCCAGGAGGCAAGAAATCAGAGGAAATTGATCGCCAGTGTATTTACTCTTACTAAATAATCCAGTGACAGAAAATAACTGCTCTAAATAATGAGTCAGGAAGCTAGAGAACTAAACACCAACATAACGAAGGTACAGTGAAGAGGGGACATTTACTTTTTTGGAGAAATGTCATACATTTTAATAAGCTGTTGTATTAATTAAAACTGTTTAGACAGTACGATGCAAAAAGTGACTAAGTATATTTTTTCAAGTGATGTTCGGTATACACAGAGGGAACACAATTCTCAAAATGTTGTTATGGTGATGGCCACTGCAAACACTGATGAGGATGTACAGTAAAGCAGGTAAAGATGCAAATTACTCTCGGTGATTTAAAAGGGGTGAACAATAGAGCGCCACAGTGACGCGTCCTAAAACCCGGAAGTAAGCTGCGCATGGGTTCCTTCAACAAAAACGCAATGCACTTTCTCCGAAGGATTTTGGAAAATAGCTGGAAATAAGGTCTGTGGTTGACACACATTTAAGAGACGGATCACGTTTTGTTCAGTCGGATAATCTCCACATGTCTACCCTACTTTTATCCTTTTCGAATCATAAATCTAATCGATAGATTTATGATCGGTTACTTCCGGGTTTTAGGATGCGTCACTGTGGCAACCTATGGCAGGAAATAAGAGAGGCTGGTGTTACAGTTAGTGCCATGGAGGAAATAACTTTACTAAGAAAACTGCTCCTGGTCTCCTGTGCTGTGCCTGAGCCATTTGAAACATGAGTTTGAGTATTTTCAGGATGGGAGAAACACATTTAAATTCTCATGTTCAATAAAAAAAGTTAGTCCTTTCTTCTCTTTCCCTTTTTGTAAAATATCATGTTTTTGTAAAATATCATATTTCACAGAAATAGTGTATTTTTCGTCTTTTTTTTTTACATTTTAAATATTTTTCAGGATAAAAATTTGACATTTTATTAGCATTTTCCGTGACATTTGTAGCAGACTAATAAGTGTTGAATCAGTGGATCAACCTAATAATGAATAAAACCAAAGCAAAGGCAAAGGAAATCTTATTGCAAGTCACTTTGGATAAAAGTGTCTGCTAAACGCAATGTTATTTAATGCAAAATACGATACAACGCTTTACTGTACGATGCGATAATACTTGTTTGTTTCCAATTTGACGGTAACAATTCAAATTCACCGCACACTTAGGGCAACAGCAAAATAATAGAAACTAGTGGTCAAAAAATGCCCAACAAGGTTCAACCACCGCATAGATTACTGATGTTTCCACGCAGACAACTGCAGGCTAATCAGAGCGAGAGATATAAATAATATACATGTTATCACAAGCAGTAAATAAAGTGACATGCTTGATGATAAATCATTAATTACAGTCTGTAGGTGTTATGGCTTCTTATATAAAGTTACCATGGATGTTTGCATCATCTGGAAAGTCTTTAAAACAGTATAGTTTAGTAGCTTGTAATGAAATATAACAGCACCAATCGGAAACCCCCTGTCAACAAAGAACCTGTTTTAAATCTCATAATGACTTTTAGCGATCATGACATTGTGAGTAAGAGGGTTTCGGAGTCGTACCTCTCCGCAGCGTCAGGAGGAGTCTTCCTTTCTGAAGCTGCAGACTGAGGCTGTGTTCGCTCCGTCCCTCAGCGTGAAGCAGAGTCCCCGAGTTACTCAGAGCTTTAAAGATCAGAGAGACGCTTTCTCTGGTCGCCTGCCTCGGCCTGGGGATCAGCCTGTAGAGGAGACTGCTGCGGCCGTCAAAGCTCACCACGTCAGAGTCTGAAAAAACAAAAACACACATTATATTTGGGGACTTTTTGATATTATCACGCAAACTGGACATAAAATTAAGAGTACAACTGATTTGAGTATTGGGACTGTGGGAAATGTCTAAATAATGAGAGAATATACACATTTATACATATTTTTATACACATATTCGGGATTGTGGAAAACGGTATTTCAATCTCTCTGTCTGAACACACAAACTGAAAGATTGACAATAAAGTTGACTTTGATCAAGTTGACTTTGAAAGTGCACTGTATGTACATAACATTTGCACTTGCACATATAATTATAATCACTTTTTGTTCTATGGTAGTCGGACGTCTCTTACTTGTGGATTGCTCCCTTGACTTTTCTTAGTGAGCTGATTCTGTTTTGTATGCTTCTACTTTATTATTCAATAGTTACTAATGGTAGTTCTGAAAACACTCAATGTCAACTTCTATACTTCGAGCAGGATTTCGGTTTGTTATTATTCGGTTCTCAAGTGTGGGTCTACTGTAGATCATAGCTTTTAACATTGTGGATTTTCTCGTTTCTGCTCCGAGCCGTGAACTAACTGCCAGAGTTTCTATGAGAAAGTGAGTGATTGAGCTCTGAACAAAATGCTGTTATATCACAGAGCTAATAGTGTCTGAATATGAGAAGCAGATTATAGACCAGGGAAAATATCTTATATAATTCTTAAGAAAATGATACACTTGCCTATCATGGCTTTGAGCATCGATGTGCTACAAATCTCCCGCCTATCGTGTCGAAAGCATCACTGAAATACATCAATTTGCATCAACTGGTCTTCTTAACCAACCAGGGTGACCAAAAAAACACTAATATTTCATAACAATGAATTGTGTATTGAGCCATTTTAGCCCCTCGTGTGTCTTTAATCCTATTTATTTTCAATTGTTGTTGTCTGGTTTAAAAATGTCATAATTTACTTTTGCAGTTTTCTTATTTTACACTTCTTTTGTCCACAGAGTTGAACAGGATTACATTTTTTATCTAACTGAAATAATGGATTTGCATGACAAGTGTGTGGAAATCCAGTTTTATGGGGGCCAAGAAGAACTGATTAACTTTTCACACCGGCTTGACTTCTTTCAGACAGATTACTTCTGCCTGTGTTCCTGTAATGAAGTTTCCTCTGGCAGACAGCAGACCTATGAAGAGGCCCAGAGCTGTCGGAGCAGCAGCTGTTGTCCTCTCTGCCCGAGCGTCTTTTACAAAACTCGCTCCGTTTTTTCTTTCTCATTTTTAACTCACATCTTGCAGGTGCAATAGGCTCACTGTGTTTTACTCCTTTAGATTATATACTCTATCTCAGTGCTTCTCAAACTTTTTTCAGTAATGTACCCCCTTTGAAACATTTTCTCAGCCAAGTACCCCCTGACCGATCCCGAACATTTTTGATCGAAAAAGCCTATATAAATAATTACAATATAGTGATGTTCCCTCAGTGTGTGATGTATTAACTCCTTCGTGGTATGTATTACAACAAACTAAGGATATTTTCATTTTATGCATGAAAAAAAATAACATAACACTTTTATAAAACAGATTTTTCCAAGGAGTTTTTCAATTTAAGTAATATGTTATTGTGAAAAACTATCAAATACAATACACACATTTGACATGTTTATATGAGGACCCCCTTGGTGGTTCTATGAATGTTTTATATAAAATTGTGTTTTCTATTTAACTTATTTTACTAAGATTATTTTTTTAATTAACCTTTTTTTTTTTTTTTTTTTTTTAAATCTCATGTACCCCCTGCAGTACCCCAACGTACCCCCAGGGGTCCGCATACCCCCATTTGAGAATCACTACTCTATCTGATCTGCTGCCTGCTTAACATCAGCTTCATCTCCAGTCAGTGTTGTGTGTATAAAGTATACATATGAGGTGTGTTTGAATTAAATATATATGCACATCTTTAATTTACACTTTGAATCTCAAATTTGTCTTGACAGATTCTTTAGGAAAAAGAAAAACCAACACATAAATTGCAAAGAAGTTTTTGATGGTTTGTGCTCTGATATGCCAACTGTGGTACCTCTTATAGACAGGTGTGTTCCTTTCCAAGTCATGTCCAATCAATTGAATTTACTACTGTACAGGTGGACTCCAGTCAAGTTATAGAAACATCTCAAGGATGATCAGTGGAAACGGGATGCGCCTGAGCTCAATTTTCAGTGTCAAAGCAAAGGGTGTGAATACTTATGTACATGTGATATTTCATTTTATTATTTTTAACACATTTGGATGACTCTTACTCGTGGATTGTTCCCTTAACTTTTCTTGGTGAACTGATCCTGTTTTGTATGCCTATTCAATAGTAACTACAATTTGAATCCCACATTTTTCTTGACAGATTCTTTAGGAAAATGAAAAACCAACACAAACATTGCTAAGAAGTTTTGGATGATCATTTTTCAATATAATATTGTCTATGTCATTGTCATTGGATTGCCTTGATTTATAACGGTTACCCATGCTTGACTTGAACTAGGTTATCCTGGTGAAGTTTAAATTGTCAGTGGGATACACGAACACAATGAAGCTTGATATCATCCTAAAAGGGCAGGTCATTCAAGACTTTACATTTGAACTAAAAAATATATAGATGAAGAGGATCATTGGTAAGCTATTAGCATGCTCAAAAGTGTCTAGAATTTGAAGTGGAATGGTGAAGCTTTTGTTGGTTTCCACGCTACTCTAATCTTGTCAGTTCATGCCGTACTGTAAGGATTTGAAACAGAAAGCCCAGACTGACTGTAAGGACATCCGAAGGTCTCCAGTCTGAGTCCGATGCGTCCTTTGGGGTTCCAGTCCAGCGGGATCAGGCGGACGTAGCGGCCGATAACCGGCTGCTGGAGCTTATGTTGCACCACACTGTCTGCATTACTGTTCCCTGGGAAAGCCTGCAAAAACAAACAGCAGCAAGTTAACTCTTGTTCTTTCTTTCTAGGCATGCATCTGTCCATCTTTTGACCACAAAGATATCCGTGATATTTCTCCCTCTGGTTGTTACTGTCAGAAGGACATGTATATTGCCAGAGGTGGGAAGTAGTGGAGTACAAATACTTCGTTACTGTACTTAAGCACATTTTTCTGGTATCAGTACTTTACTCCACTACTTATTTTCCTGACGACAATTTACTTTGACTTCTTACATTTTGAACACAAATACCTGTACTTTCTACTTGTTACATTTTCCAAACAGGCTGGTTTCTTTAGTTTGAATGTGTTTCTGTCAGATAATGTCAGAACTCAAGTGCATCTGCATATTTTGTTCAGTGTTCGTTATTCTCGCGTCCAGGAGAGAAGTTTTAAAAAGGAGACTAAATGGAGTCTCTGAGATGGTTCAAAATTGGTACTTTAATTAAAAATAAAGGCGCGGGTATGTTTACAAGCAGAATATTGTTCAGTCAGAAAAACAGCTGTGTTCTGGCTGAAGGGAAGAGACCGCTCCACCTTTCCAGCTGTTATATATCCTCTGCTGGCTCCTCCCTGTGGGCCGGTTGGCGCTGCTGGGGGCCGGCCCTCAACGTATTTAATGTCCGTTGTTACGCATATCAGAGGATACAGACATTGTATATCCAATATATATCTAAACACGCATTTTCTCCTCCTTAACTCTTTCATGACTTTTCATTTAACACATTCTAAACGCTGTAATCAATACTCCAAAAAATACAGGAAATACATATGGCAATAATAATATGGCAGTTTGGTTTTCCGGTCGTTCCGGATGTTGTCATATGCTACCCACATCTGTAAACAATAACGTATTCAAATAAACTGTACCTTCATTTAATATTCAGCAATAATAATATCTCGACGTCTATAGTTGTAGTGTTAAAATCAGTAGGTTTCGGTGTGCAACACTCCGTGTCATATCGCTACTAAATTCACCTCTATAGTAAATGGGATATTAGCCACATGCTAAATGCTAACCGGAGATGAAGGATTTTCAGAATAAAAGCTTAACAACTGGTTGTGCACAAGAACTTCTGTTTTTTCAGTATAAAACATCATTTAAACTGACGGTATGTTTAAGCTACTTTATGCTATCAAAACATTGATTTTAATTTCTAACAATTTCCAACAATGTATCTTGAAATGCTGAGTAATGGGTGTATATTCTCATCATCTGAACCATATAGTGTGAGTTTGAGTTTCACTGACTAAACAGCAGAAGACCTAACGTCCACAAATGACTGTTTCCTGCTGAGAAAGAGCCAGTGAGAGCTCATTTAGACACTGGCTTTTGAAATCTGACCTGAGCGGAGGAAGAAAATCCTCCAAAGGGAGTTTGATTAGAGAGGAAGCGAAGGGGAGTAACAGAGGGTGAAGGTCTGAGAGTCAGAGAGAAAATAAAGAAGGGAGAGAATCTCCCACACAATCTCTGATGAAATGGGTTAAAGGAAGAGGGATGAGGAAGATTTATGTTGGAAAACACAAAGCCATAACACATTACAAGGTGGCACAACACAACATTAAATGGTACAAAATGATCCCTAACAAAGAGTGGGATTATATGTGTATAATATTTTTGATTCTTTGCTGTATTGTACCATCAACATAGTTGTGTGAAATGTTTACGGGATTCTGTCAACTCCGTTTTATCTTTTATGTGTATCTCTTGCCTGTATAATGTCAGAGTCAGAATGGTTTTCACTACAAAACTTGACAGAACTCATCATTATATAGTACCAAAATAAAAGAGACATTTAAAAGGTGTGTGTGTGTGTGTGTGTGTGTGTGTGTGTGTGTGTGTGTGTGTGTGTGTGTGTGTGTGTGTGTGTGTGTGTGTGTGACTGAAAAGTTTCAACTTGATAACTTTAGATGACTTAACTCAGTTGAATTAACATTTAAACACTTACAGAAGGACTTATAAAAGATTATTAAACAAAGTTCAATTAACTTTGAATGTGTAAATCCAGCTTAAAATGATGGTGCTGTTCAAAATGTTCAAAACAACAACATTGTAAAAAATCACTAATAAAAAAACATTTTAATGACAGTCAAGGTTCAAGTTTAAAAGGATCCCACTTCCAATTCCTCACCCTCCAAAGCTTCACTGTCTTTAATTATCACCTGCTGCCTGTTCATAGCTTTTCTCACTTCTCCACACATACACATACATTCTTTTAATAAGCATCATTATGAGATGAAAATATACTCTTCACCTGAGCTACAGGGACATATATAATGTACCTCCAATAACACCTTGCTTTATTCTCTGGAGAGTGTGTATTCCCACAGCTCTTGCACCTCTGCAGTGGAGGTGAAGAGAAGAAAGGATGAAGAAAGAACAAGAGGAATTACTCAGCCTCACAAAGTGTCGGCCTCTTAGCTTAAAGGAGAGCGAGGTCCTGGAGGAATTGTGACTGATGAAGCATCGCTGTTCCCCCGAAAGCCACAATAAACCAGGCTGACTAATATGCAGAGCTTTGGAGGGGCTTTGGAGACATGCTGTGGATTTATCCTGATGTATGCTGAGTATGAAATCAACAAGCTTTTAAGCCGCGAGAAGCCTTTCCTTTCTCTCTGTGAAGAAGTGTTAGACTGACATTAGTTTTACCCTCACTGTGAGAGGCTCATCCACTTTAAATTGAAGCAGTTCCTCGCAGCATCACTATTTAGGAGGGGGGGGGGGGGGGGGGGGTGGTATATGTCTATACTACGAGCTTTAACCCTCTGGAGTCTAAGGGTATTTTCTCGATTTTTAGATGTTTTCTTAAATCACCTTTTAAATGTATTTCCTCTAACATGGCACCCCATGTGTCAAATATCAAAATGTTCAGGACAATCTCTGGTATTGCTATATATGCAAATTACTCACCTTAGAGCACTGTTTGATGAGATAAGTAGCTCAAAAGCTTAACATTTGACATCCGATTTTCACAAAATCTTCAAAACTCTTGTGAAAACACAAATTTACTCATGTGATCGAATTGTTTTGGTGTTTTAGATTTGGTTACCAAAGTCTTAGGATCACAAAAGCAGTGAAATATTTGAATTACACTGTATATAAATGTGTTATTCATGTCTAAAATGAAAAAAATTAAATTCGAATTTTGAGTAAAACAGGTGTTTATCACTCTACTTTCACCACAGCAGGGACTGAGATACATTAGGACTGAATAATGACTTCATATTACATACAAAGGTTCATGTGATGTGTGCAAATATACAAATTGAGCATTCAACCTTTTTTTTCAACCAACAATTTATTATAAATATGTTTTTTTCAACCAACTATTTATATAAATATAAGAAACTGGAAAATCTAACTATTTACAATATTGAACATCAGAACTTTCAACCAACTATTCATTATAAATGTCAAGACAGTGTCAAGGTCTTTGTCTGTCTTCCAAGACAGTGAAGATGGGGTGATGGTGCATGGGCTGCTGTGTAGGTGGGGTGTACAAGTGCTATACGAGACCTCCACGAGACCTCCTTGCTGGCTGGGTTGAAGGTGATGGCTGTGGTGGAGCCTTTGTGCTGAGGTGTATCTTCACCTGGTGGCAGCCGCAGATGGAGGTGGAGGCAGCTGTAGTGATGCTGGTCCTTGGTGGTGATGGCTCTGGTGAAGGCCCTTGAGCCACGGTAGATCTTGACCTGGGGGCCGGCACAGATGGATGTTCTGGCTGCTGGATAAACGCCGCCTGTGGGCCACTAGGCCCAGGCAGCTGTGAAACATCTCTGTAAAACAAATTAAAATGTAGGACAATAATGACAACTAATTTCATTGAAATAAAGTTCAAGTAAAATGTTGCTCAAGCACAAATAACAATGCACACATAAAAAGAAAGTTTGGGAGGTTGGAGAAGGAGTCTCTCTCGATCGTACACACACACACACACACACACACACACACACACACCACACACACACACACACACACACACACACACACACACACACACACACACACACACACACACACACACACACACACACACACACACACACACACACACACACACACACACACACACACACACACACACACACACACACACACACACACACACACACACACACACACACACACACACACACACACAGGTATTTCCAGTTACTTTACATTCAGTATAAAATCAGACACACATATACATAGGCTACATCTGATTACAAAGTCTCATCTGTACAGGACGGTAAAATAATAACAGGCACACATATAAATAAATCTATGACAAAGTCTCATCTGTACAGAACAGTATGATAAATAATCGATGTCAAAAACATGTCACTGTAAATGTCTCCGTTGTGGGACGAATAAATGATTAATTTAATCCTCTACACATGTAATCTCACTTTTACACACCAAAATAACGTTAACACAGAGTAAACGTTTGCTAATGGAGAGTCTATTTTGTCCAATAAAAAGTTCATGATTATCGATAACAAATATATATCAATAAACCTATTGTTCATTTTCGCGGTATTCCCCACACATTGCCAGTACACTATTACTGTAATATTTACACTTACCCATGCCCAAATGGATCCTTGTTGTTGTCTTTGTATTCTTCTTCTTCAGAAGAGTCGAAGACTTCAGGTTCTGAGGCTCTATCTTCACTGCTGCTAGCGAAATAAATCTCTAGCGAAATCGGCATCTGTAACGTTTTTTTTTAGCCATTTTCTCTGTCTCTCTCTCTCCTCAAAGACGTAAACTGATGGGAGACACGTGGTTTATGTTTTGTTTACTTGGTGGGTAGGTCCTTAGTGATTTCTCGATGTCCATTGGTCATTTCAGACCATGATGGCTGCCGGCCGAGATTTCCTTGACGGACACACAAATCCACCAATCCCACACAGTGTAAAGTCAAGCTGATTTGAGCGGCCATATTGGCTGCTGTGCCCTGGTTACAGTCTCACAGGAGATACCGCTGGAAAGCTACTCTTCCAGCGATTCCGCGGATATCTGAATCATATTTCTACTCCTTATAATCGAAAATATATGATTAATTACGTAAAATTATACATCCACTGACTCCAGAGGCTAATGCTGGACTGCTTCTACCTACTACCGTGTAATGTGGTTAACAAAGCGAGTGAGAAAGGTGAACATTTTAAGAGACATTTACGAGTAGAAGAGATGCTAATTCCTTCAGATTTTATCGAGAGGGTTTTTATTTTTCCGTTTATTTTGAGGCAGAGTTTTTCTAAATAAGTGCGCTGCTCCAGTGTGTGTTTTGTCAGTGATATTTGTATAGTCCATCTGACAAACACAAATCATCATAATTAAAGGGCCCATGTCATGCTTTTCCGGTTATCACCCGTCCCCTTTTGTTATGAAGGTTTTTCTGCATGTAAACGGTCTGCAGAGTCACAAACCCTCAAAGTACACCCTGTAGCGAGTAAAACTCTAACACAGAAAAGACCTGTCTATGCTGCCCCAGAACGCCTCGTTGGAGATTTCTCTATTTCCATTGTTTACTTCTTGGGTATAGTGACGTATTTCGGGTATAGTGACGTAATGCAATGGCTCCGCAGATTGGTCCAAACGTAGCCGTTACGTTACGTCCACGGAGCCGTTACGTTTGGACCAATCTGCGGACTTCCTCACACACACACACTCGGTGGGACATTGCGAGGCTCGCTGCTGCGAGGAGCGGGACAGTGTGAGCTGGCTCACTAGTGTGGGGTCGGCGAGACAGCGAGACACCGCGGAACTCAGCACACACACAAACTCCCAGCCAGGCTGCGGGTGTGTGTGTGTTTCGGGCTGGGTTTCGCTGTGTCTCGCAGACGGCCACTGGGCTCACAGGGAGGGGGGGGGGGGGGGGCAGGAGCTCCAACAAGCCGTTTAGGACAGAGAGTGAATACACATACTATACAGAGATGCTGTATGTGAAACCAATGTGAGTTTGGAAAATTGCACAGTATAAATCTATTTTAGTAGACCTCAACAATGGAATTATGATCAGTGGAAATGGCCATGACATGGGAGCTTTAAGGGGAAAATGGTAAAATGGCTGGTAATAACAGCAGTCTCTTCAGCGCTGGTTTGGTTTTAAAGCTGTTTTTTTCTGCACAAGGTGCTGTCTGCAGGATGACGCTTTAGGAATTTTAAAAGGGGCTGCTTTCAAATGAAGATCTGGTAAATGGACTGCATTTATAAATTGTTTTTATTACAAGGCTTTATAATTCTGCTTCTCATTTACACACACACACTCACACCGTAATGTCCAACCTTCAGAAACTATTTTGGGTTTGGTTTAGCGCTCAATTACGCCCTGACGTGTGGACAGGAAAAGCCAGGAATCTAACTTAAATTCTTGCAATACCTTCCCTACCTCCTGAGCCAGACTCCATTTTATAATTTGCAATATAACAGCACTGCTTCAAATACTCATACTTTTGACTAGGGATTTTTACCATTTTGTCACACTTTGATTGTTGTTCTGATGAACTTTAGTCCAAAAATTGTGATAAATATTTTGTATGGGGAGGCTGTGGCGCAGTGGAATAGTGCGCTGGTGTTGGGATTAGGGGGGCACAGGTTCAAACCCCACTGCAGTGAGCATGTCGTTGTGTCCCTGGGCAAGACACTTCACCCCAAATTGCTCCTGTGGGGATTGCCCACAGTATTGAGTATGTAAGTCGCTTTGGATAAAAGCGTCTAACATGTAATGTAATGTATCATGTGTAGTAACTATACATTTAAGAGTTAAAGTAGGTAAAACATATTTAAAATAACTACAGAAACTTCAGTTACAGTAATGGGAAATATAAACCCATACACTTTGTCTTTTTCCGGCTTTTTTACTCTTTAAACCAGCGGTATTTTTTACAGCTGTGAGTTTCGGCTGAATGTTTTCCCCTTGGTTTTGTTCTGCCTTCGGCTCAGCTAGACTATTATTAATGTGCCAATATTGACTTTCTAAATGAGAGAATTCAGTATAGGTCATGTCAGAGAAATGTTATTCTACACTTCTTCAATTTACATTTTTTAAACTTGTTTATTTCACGGATAAAAATGACATTATAAAGCATGATTAACATCAGGGGAAAACATTAATTATCGGCAAATAATATGCAAAATTATTCGTGCCAACATTATTGTTTTGACACAGGTGTGGTTTTTAAATAAATCACATGATGACTGAATTTGGTTTGAGGGTCCCTGTGCATATTGGCTCACTGTCACACTTGAATAAAACAGAGCCATTGTTAATTATATGTTCTTTCACACACTGACATGTCAAAATGTCTGTGTTTTGATGCTTTAGTGTCAGATTATTCCGCTTAACACAGCTTGATTTAATGTATTTAAATCACTCACCCCAATACTTTCTTCCTGCCGGTACTGTCTCCAGTTGTGTCCCGTGTCGCTGAACATCAGCAGGTAGGCCGTCAGCCAATCAGAGCTGCCGTAGCGACCCTGCGTGGAAACAGCGGTGATGTGTGTCCGCTCCCCGAGGTCCACCTGCAGCCACTGATATCTGTCCGAGCTCAGAGGAGACCAGCCTCCAGCTCCTGCAGGGACACGTGCACAGACAGCATGCTCAGAAATATGAGACGACTTCTGTTTCAACATCACATCATATTTGGGTATTTGCAAAGAAAATAGACGGAAGAAAAACTGATAATCGCATACATTCTTAGCAAACTTTTCTTAAGAAACTCAGTTGGGAGTGCAGGGAAATTAAAAGGGAACCTTTTTTAAAACATGCCGTTTAATTTTAGAGAGTAACATTTGGTTAATCTGTCTTAATGATTGTTCTGTGAATGATGTTAGCAGCAGATGAGCCATTTAGGATAACAGCTGTATACAATATTGAAATGTTAGTCCATGGCAGAGCTTCATATATTCTGAGTATGAGGGCAGACGACCATACGAAGGAGACATTACATTATGTGTGTGTGTGTGTGTGTGTGTGTGTGTGTGTGTGTGTGTGTGTGTGTGTGTGTGTGTGTGTGTGTGTGTGTGTGTGTGTGTGTGTGTGTGTCTGAGTTGGACCAAATGTTGCTTACAGTACACAAAATGGACAGATTTGACTACATGCCTGCAATTGTACTTCTACCTTTGACATAAACGCATTGCCTGACGCCATTCCCTGACGATAATTAGCATTTCCAATCAACCTTAACCTAGCCTCTTTGACAATTGGCCGTCCCTTACTTCAACCATGACTTTGGGGGCCACTCATTGTAAACCACTTCTGCCACTTTTCCAGAAATGGCCCTCACAAAGATAGAAGATAGAAGCTAAAAGCGAACGACCACTTGGAAACACTTTTTCAAAATCCCATGACACCAATTTTGGAGAGGCTGTGTTTTTGATTCTTTCAAAACTTCTCTCTATATTTGAAAAAGCTCACTTCAGGATGATTTTGAAGTGCCGTCCCTTTGTCCAAACTGCCTTTGTCCAAACTCCCTTTGTAGTGATCACCATAGTTGATAGAAATATATTGATGTCTGTAAAAAAGTTCTCAAGAAGAATTTGAGTCTGGGCTTTCTGCCAGTCGAATCACTTATCAGTGGAGTGAGAGGATGTAAAAATGTTGTGCTAGCTTTGGCCTTTGTATCTCCTCATACAACTCCCACATTTCCCTTAAGAATTACATTTGATGAATCAGACCCTAAGGTCAGAGTTTTTTACTTTCAAACAGTCAAGTTTTTTGGAGCTGAGATCATGATCATTAGAGAAATCTGATTCTGCCCAGAGGCAGTTATTGTAACTTTGATTCCAAAGTTACATGACTTACTCCTGCGTTGGTAGAGATTACTGTATCAATGCAGTACCTGTATGCCCGGAATAAAATATGTTATAAGAGTTGAGATATCTTGAGTTGAGATATCTTGGATTCAATGTCTGGATAACAGCTGGTGCAGGAGAGGCAGAACCAAGTTATTCTGCCAAACAGTGCTGACAGCTTCACCACAAGCTAAAGAAAAGACCCTTTGGCCATCAATAATGCACTCTTATTCTGACAGGACGTCTCTTATTCTGACAGGAAGTCTCTTATTCTGACAGGACGTCTCTTATTCTGACAGGACGTCTCTTATTCTGACAGGAAGTCTCTTATTCTGACAGGACGTCTCTTATTCTGACAGGACGTCTCTTATTCTGACAGGATGTCTCTTATTCTGACAGGACGTCTCTTATTCTGGGAGGACGTCTCTTATTCTTACAAGATGTCTTTTATTGTGACAGTCTGTCAGTCTGAGAACTGTGGAGCTGGATGTCCTGTGTGAAATTCATGGTATGTAATTTACAGTAAGTGCTTATAAAATCATATTTTGCATACAGATGTTAATCATCAACTATTTGGATTTGCACTTTACATTGCTACAACAGAATAAGAGGTTTTACCTTCAGTGCTTTACCTGCTTAGTCTCATCTAATATAAAGTATGTCCCTAGTGTCACTAAATTAGCGTTCAGTTCTGCCCGAATTATTATATTTGGTCATTTCAATAATGTTTGAACATTTGTAAAATAACATCCGGCAGTGCTGGAGAAAAAGCTGCAATGTGGATGAATGCGGTTTTATTTAATTTTCAGCCACAATGGAGATTTTAATGTGATTAAACCAACTATTCTAATGGCAATAGGTTTTTATTGAAACATATGAAAATCCTGGTGCAGTCTTGCTTTAAGTCAATGTAATGTACATGTAAGTGTCCCTGGGCGATAACAGTTTTTTCAACATACTTTTACAAGAAGCCTCTATGTAAAAAAAGGAAAACAAATTAAAATACATGTTTTTTATTTAGATTTTACATGCAGTAAAAACAGCCGACAAATTGCCTAAACAAATAGTTTGTAATTGGAAAATATGCATCTTGTATTTTTTAACCATCAAAAGAGTAATATTTGAAATGTGCATTCACCCCAAAGCTCTATGGGCCCGGACACACCAAGCTGACACCAAAGAACTGACACAGACGGACCCGACTGTTGCGTCTGTCACTACCCGATCCGTCCCCTGCCCGATCTGTACTGCGCATGTGCGAGATGGTCCGCCATATTGGAGAACTCCGGACGGCAACTCAAGAAGGACACTTGACACAGTGGCTTTTGGCAAAGCTCAAAAAGAAAACTCGAGAGAGATGAGTTATTGTTATTACAACGTGACTTCACTATTATCTTTTTATTGGGTTCTTTTATTTGGGGTTAAGTACATTGTCAGAATAAGTGAGAAATTAATTTAACTTCTGTTAGACCATATATGTATATGCCATACATTTTTGCATACATTCACAGTAAATATTTATTCAGTATGATAGCTGTCTAACAGAAGTTAAATTCATTTCTCACTTATTCTGACAATTTGGGTGGGCGATTTGGATTGCACATCGACATGTTGAATCGGTGGGTTTTCGGCCGAAAAGGTGTCGACACGGCTGAAAAGACACGACGGTGCGGGACACACCACTCTGAGTAGCGTGTCGACGCTCATCGTCGGCCTGACGCCCATCGACGGACAAAATCGACTTGGTGTGTCCGGGCCTTAATGGGTTAATCCAAAAGTTAATAGAGCACCAAGTCTGCAGCAGAGTGTTTGCAGGAAGCAGAAAAAGCTCCTCGAAGATTCCCTGCTCATTTTGCTGGTAAATTAAGTCTGAAAGAGGCGTCTCCTCGTGCAGAGTGACTGCAGAGGATGAGGAGCAGCAGCTGGAGGAGAACAACCACCAGGGGATGTTCATTTACTCAATGATTTATACAACAGCTGGGAATCTGGAATTAGAGCAGTTTTGGTTAACATGTGTGTTTGCTTTCAAAACTGCTCATTAGATGTATTGATGAGTTTAATTCAATTCAAATCTCAGGGAAGTAATCAATAAGGCATTGCAAACTGAGAGGTGTTATTGTTAGCAAGAAATCATTGACAAGGAAAAACAAGAGCTAAGAGGGGAGATTTTAGGCACTGAAAGCTCTGCGGTTGCTTGATATCTCAGAGCAGTTTATAAGTGTCTATCAGGCCCTATTATGTACATTTTCAGGTTCATATATATTTGTTGCCTCTACTCTGACATGTCTCCATGCTTTAATGTTCAAAGCTCTTTATTTTTCTCATACTGCCTGTGCTGCAGCACCTCTTTTCACCCTCTGTCTGAAACCAGAGCCCAGTCTGCTCTGATTGGTTAGCTGGTCGGCTCTGTTGTCAACCGCTTAGATGTCCCGCCCCTCAGCCTTTCTTGACAATGTGTTAGAGCCAATAAAAGGAAGAGTGTTACACAGTGATGATTTATCTTTCCGTCATGTTTCATTTCTTCCGCATCTCTTTGCTTCTCTCTTGTTGCTTCGTGCAGATAAACTCAGTTCGGTTATGGCGCTTCTGGCACCACACCATCTGATTTCCCTTCCCTTTCTCGTTATCGAAGATTGAACTCCAATCAGTAAACAGTCAGAACTAAAGTGAAAGAACTCAGCATGTGTGTTTACTCACAGCTTCTCCCATCACACACACCCAGAAGACTGCACCCTGCAGAGTGTGATTCCTGCAGTCTCCCAGGCAGAGGAAATCATTAATATTGTATTAAAGACAAAGACATCCAAACTTTTCCGTCTGATTCTCATCTCCGTTCTGTTTGTATTATCCTGCAAAAAACAAAAGGTATGTATCCTCAAAGCCCCCCACATAAAATCGTTTTTGCTACTTTCTGCAACCCTTCTGGTGACAAATAACCTTTTGCGGAGTGTTTGATTTACACCTGCAACACAATTACCTGAAAACTAAGCAGAAAACACAAAATATACTTTGGTTTTTAGCTTTATCTGTTATTCCATACCCCATCAGGTGTCTGTGTGTTTGTGTGTCTTTGATGTTGTGTGTCCTGCAGGGCGCTAAATTATGGGGCAAGCAGTGCTGCTGCAACGCATCAGAAACAAACAGAAACACAGGGGGGCTTCCTTTCACTACTTATTTTTTTGTGGAAACTCAGGGTGTTCAAATAAATAAATTCATTAAAAAGAGTGAGGAGAAAAGAGGACAAGATTGCAGCGATCATTTATTGATGTTAAACTGCTAAATGTTATATGCGTATACTCCGGAGAATAGCCGAGCAAGAGATGGAATAAATGAAAGATCACACTGCGGTACGAGCCACTGCGGTGCTTGTTCCTTATTAGCAGCAACATGCAGTCCCTTGATGGTGGGTCAGATATTATCATGAAAATCCTTACTTTATCTTAATAAACCTTCATTTTAGTCTATTTTCTTTAAACACAGTATGCCATCTGTGTTTTCTGCATATCCACAACCTCATACTGCACAAATGAACTGTGCATCTGTAGTGAGGTAAAGCTGAATAGAACATCACTAAGTTGAGTAACTGAACAAAAGATTAAAAACATTGTGGTCTTTTTGAGGGGGTTAAATTAATTCACAACAAACGGAGATCCAAGATCGATGAGCATGTGCTAATAGAGAGGCGAAGTCCCTCCCTTTCCGGTGGACCTCCATAAGACCTTATTTCGGAAAAAGTATGTATTGAAGTCAATGGGGAGAGAAAACGTATCTCTCGATCCCGTTTGAAATTGTGCCATGAATTACACAATCTTGAAAAATTATTTCCATGTCAAAAAAGTCACAGTTTGTCGTAAAACTGTTGAAATATAAGACTATGAAAAATACACAACTAGAAAGACTACAAATCCCAGAATCCCGGTCCCGCATGCTGGCTCTTACGGAACCGACTAACTCCCCTTGTGTGTATGCACAGCTCTCAACGTGCCCAGACTTGTAGTGATTTTCATCTCTTTTAATACTTTTTGCCTCATTCTGAAAGAAAGAAGTGAAATGTGCCAACGTGACGGCCATCTTGGTGTGTGGTGCGAGACGGGAGATGTAGTTCATTGAGCGGTTCACACAAAAGAAAGTGTTACTTCACAGTTTTACGACACGTTTTTTTCGTTTTGACTTGTAAAATTATCTTTTAAATTGACAAACGTCATATGTGTAATTCGTGATACAATTCAAACGGGATCAAAAGATAATCTTTCTCTCTCCATTGACTTCAATACATACTTTTCCCGAAATAAGGTCCCGTGGAGGTCCCCCGGAAAGGGAGGGACTTCACCTCTCTATAGCTAACCTGTGAGCAATCAACTGCTCACTAAGACATCAAGCAGACACAGATACTCTCACAAGACATTTAGTTAGTTAATATCCTTGTTGAGGCCCAAATATAGCACAGCAAAAACAACAACAAAGCAAATAAGTAGATTGGAATGCTGTTATTAGCTTGTTAGCATTGCTAGCTTCTGTTTTTATCTGTTTACAATCCTGCTCTATTTCCTGTCCATTATTGCTTTTGGCCACAAAACGTCAGTAGATTACACATTCTAGATTTCGTTCTGCAGCGTAAGACGGATGCATGCAATCAAACAAATTGTTCAATATTTCTTAGTCGAACAGTGAGAACAGAGCGCCACCATACGCTAAAAACGGAAAATATCAGCAAAGATAATGGTAGTCACTCACCTTCTCTCCGGTTCAGTTTAGCAAAGCCCGGCCCATGACTGCCCGATAACTGTGAGGAGCTTCTGAAGAACGATGGCAGCAGATTGGATACGAGAGGACTGTGACACACCTCTGTGAAACACAACAGAGGAGACAAATGGTTTATAATAACTACAGAAGTCTAAGGAAACATACCACTGATCGTTGAGGTCCTTTCAGTCTGTTCACAGTAAGAACGCCTTTCATAAGTTTTATTTAACTTAATCCCCAATTAGTAAGCCTTATATCAACCTTGTGTTAACTGCTTTTTGACTGACTGAGGCATTCATTAGACAAACTGGCCTCTGAGGTGGCTTACCATACCATATACACTCTGATGGATATAGATTGTGTAAAAAACAACACATTTACCCGGTTTCACTGACTCAAAGACACAAAAAGATTCAGTTTTTCTATGAATATTTCTATATATACATTAACGAGCATTTATATGCATGAGCCTTTATCTGTTAATGGATGTTTCCTCTATCGCTGAGAGGAGAATATCTCTGAGAGCAGAGATGTATCTCTTGGGGAGATTATATTAAAGAAGGATCTTGAGCTGTCTTTACTTTGTTTCGTCAAGATTTAATCAGACTTGGCCTCGCTGCTTTGATATCGATTCCTGCCCGTTGAGGGAACTTACAGAGATGGTTTGACTTTGGTCTCTCTTTCATGGGGCTTTGATTTTATCCGGCTTTGGTTTATCGTTGTGAGCTGTCTGCACGTTGCAAGAACAATCTGTCACAATAAGTCTGAGGTATATGTTCCATCATTGTGCATTGCAAACCTGACATGAACTGTGACATGTCTCCATGCTTTAATGTTCAAAAAGCTCTTTATTTTTCTCATACTGCCTGTGCTGCAGCACCTCTTTTCACCCTCTGTCTGAAACCAGAGCCCAGTCTGCTCTGATTGGTTAGCTGGTCGGCTCTGTTGTGATTGGTCAACCGCTTAGAGATGTCCCGCCCCTTAGACTATCACGTATAATGTGCGAGAGATTCTCTCTGGAGGAAGCTTTGGGATTTTAGCCTTTGCAGACCATTTACATTTACAAAAACCTATATAACACACTACAGGTGTCAGGATTCGTGGAAAAAGGTAGGACCCAAATGCAGAATACAAAAAAGGCAAAAAGGTCAAGGAACAAAAGGCAAGCTTTATTTAAAAAAAGCTGATAACTGAAAAAACATGACATGAAATAAACAGGAAGCACGAGGTAAACAAAAACTGATCGTGGCCAACATGGAGGGAGACAGGAAAGACAATGAACCGACATGAAACACAAGGGAAGAGAAGACTAAATACAAAGAAGGGTAATCACAGGACAAGACACAGCTGGGCAGGGGAGGCAGAAACACAACAGGTGAACACAATCAGACAATCAGACACAGGAGGGAAAACACAGGAAGGAAGACAAGACACAGGGAGAACAGAATTGCAAAATAAAACTCATGACAAGACAGACAAAACTAAGATTGTGACAACAGGAAAGGGAATACAACCAAAACGCATAATAAGGCCTCTTTAATTAATACTAAAAGTATAGCAGCAGCAATAGTGATGGCGAGATGAAGCCTTATGAAGCTTTGAAGCTTTCCAGCCAATTGGTTCGCAAAAGGGTTCATCTCATGAGGCTTCATCATGGGCTTCATTTGAACACAAACCCCCTGTTGGTCAAAGTGTGTAAAACAGGCAGATTGGACATCTCAACAGTGTGCTCTATCTCATACCGAGTTCCCAATGAGTAAAGCCTTAGAATAACTCTAAACAACGAACATTAAATCATATTTTCATGTTAACAATATTGTTTTTATTCCAGTTGAATGATTGTGATTGAAAAGCCTAAGGAGGCTGGTAAACATTACAAATAGGGATTTGTATTCCTTAATAATATTCATAAACGTAACCATGTTGTAGCCTGAGAAAGGCTAAACCATATCAAAGAATACATTTATTAACTACATTATCTCATTTAGCTGTAGCTTTTATAAACAACAAAAAAGACGTATTGACGAGTCGTTGAACCTGGGGGGTATAGGCTACTACGAAGCAGGATTTCCGCTTAGCCGGCTCAATTCAGGGAAAACTCCGGCTTTCCGGTCCTACGAAGCTGGTTCTCTTTTTAGCAGGCTAGATCTCCATGGTAACTTATGCTTAGCGGCTAACCTGGTCGGGACCAGGTTAGGTTGCAGGCTAAGAGCTCAACTCAGTGAAAGCACTGCCTGCTGACCAATCAGAGCTCAGTGTGCGGAGTTTAAAGCGATCAAGTCATATTACAGGAGAAAGGAAATACAGAAAAGCTGCCGTCGCAGGAAAGACGGCCGGCAAAAATCACCGACTGTGTGAACGTGAACATTAATAGAATATCACCTCCATCTTCAGAGCAATCTGACTATTATAACATTAGCGTTAAGAAAGCTTACTTAAATATCTGCCACAACACAAGTAACCGGATCAGAGTAACATTAAGTACAGTCCGCGGCATATCACTTCATAATGTATCATATATTTTCTTATCTGAGTCAGCTGAGCCGTATCTGGCCGTGCAACACTCACAGTGTCACATGCTGTATGCAGAAGTATTATTTTAAGCAACACATTAAGTTGACGAAACACTCGAGACAAATGTAATTAAAGTCAGATCCTGTTTTAGACGGGGCAGTGATATCATAAACCTGTTAATACGCATTCAAACACTTTTTCTTTTGCCAGCTGTATTCACCTTGCAGGTGCAGCTCTGTGGCTTTGATCCTGGATAAAGTGTTTAAGTCATAGATGTTTAAAGTTTAACTTCTTCATTTTTGACTAGTATTAAAGTTCACTTTTCATTCAGGAAGTATGACGCTGCGCTGTCAGTACGCTTCTCCATGTTTGTGATTGGTCGAATGCTCCAAATACCACCCCTTTCATGTGAACGCGCACCTAACTAGATAGGACACGGCTGGCTTGAGCGATCCACTTGATAACCCGCGTCGTAGTACCGTTTAGCGAGAGCGTGTATGTTTTGGATTAGGCCAACCGGCTAACTCAAACATATCCAGGTTAGGTTGAACCAGCTTCGTAGTATAGGCCCCAGGAACCCTGCGATTGTGAGTCAACTGCTTTCCAGCTGAGCCACAGCACACACGCTGAATCTCCCTGAAAATACTGTAACATATTTATGCCTGTATTTATTCATTTATGTTTTTTTCTCCTACATTTATTTATGCTTGTATCTATTTATACTTATGACATGTTCCGACCTCTATATAGGTGAGGTTTTGAGCTCTTTTAATTCCATCGTGTCACCAGCGGGCCCGGGTACAGGAGGGGTAATATCGTTCTTATTATACATCCATGGGTATTATGAGCGTTGTGGTTCAATGGTTCAACCGATCTGAATCGCTTCGTGAAGCAGTCACGTGGTATCGACAGGCAGCGAGGCTTCGTTTGTCATCGATGACGTCACTGGCCCAAAACGATACAAGCCTCGACACATGCTTCACAAAAAGCTTCGGGGATTACTCGACACACGCTCCGAAACCTCGGAGCAATACGTAACATCACTAAGCAGCAATACTGTCACAAGAATAGAAAACATATTTTCTATCTCTATCGCTGTACCAATGATACATTATTATAGACCCAGAAATAATGTAAAAGCTTGAGGGGCAAATTGCACTTCTGGAAAGTGGCTAATGACTCAGAGGAGACGACTACCAAAGTAGAGGAATTATGGAATGTCTTGTGGTGGATACAAAATGCTGCTGACTTCCAAAATATGAAACTAATTTCTTCTTCTGACTCGACTAAAACCAGGGAAGCACAACATCGTCTGACACATCATCAGCAAGTGGAGATAAATCTTGAGCACAAACCTCTTCTCGAAACACTGCGCAGTAGTGAAGACAATCCTGTGAAAAGTTAAAATACTAGATATTACTCTCTCTTGTATACATGATTGACTCCAAATAGCTTTAAGGAGAGCTGGCCTGGACAAACTCAATTCATTTAGTGGTTTAAGTAGGGCAGTCATCTTTAAAATAGACACTTAGTATGTGTCCTTTTTATTCAGAATCTTTAGAAATAAATAAGCAGAAACCTCTATGGACACACTTCAAATGTTGGGTACCACTTTACAATAAGACTACCCTTATAAAGGATTTACGAACAGTTTGTAATTCATTCATTAATTAGGTTGTGAACACTTTATAAATCCTTAATAAGCTTTTATAAGACATGAGATAAACAGGGCAACTGTGACCGGTTGCTTGCCAAATAGAGAGCCCACATTTCTCTGTACTGCTAAGCCTTATTTGAAATGGTAGTAACTCATTAATACATGGGAATGTGTTTTACACTTTACAAGGCTCCCCTTTGGCAGTTATAAATGTTAGTGACTCGTTAATAAATGGTCATAAGAGATGCCAAGAAAAATCAAGATGGAAGGGGGGGGAATCAACTCAGTGAACAACAGATAGGTAAGCTAGTGCCAATATAAGGCTTTGTCATCTTGCCAAATAGTGAGCCTGTGTTGATATGAAAACTATCTTAGAACTGGTTTATAAATGGTTCTTAATGATTAATAAAGTGTTTACAACCTAATTCATAACCTAATTATAAACCCTTTATTAATCCTTTATTAGGGTAGTCTTATTGTAAAGTGGTACCAAATGTTGTATTACCCTCATATTAGAGGTGACTGCAGTATATAGAGACTGGATTGAAATGCTATTATTGATCAGCCTCACAGGATAAAACAAAGAGACTCTTCACACTGAGCCTCTGAAGAAATATATAAGCGTAATAACGTGGTGCATTTTCCACTGAAAGCCATCAATCTGCACCTCAATCAGCAGTCAAGTCACACACTGAAACACTTAAAATTTCAAACTGATCACCACAGTATCGATCAGAGTCTAACAAAGTGGTGCACTCTTTATTTGACAGTTATATACATGTGGAAACAATGTGAGATGTCTTTTCTTAGAGCGGTAATGTCTTCCTGCAGTGTCACCGCAAATCAACCGTTTTATTAAAATACGGGGCTCTCACCAGCTCACTGAATATAAAACATCTGCACTCAGAGCACAAAACAACTCCCCATGTAA